AAAAAGGGAGAGACAAAGAAAAAGAAAGAATAAGAGAAAGAGAGAGTGAGAGAAGAAGGAAGGGAGGAAGGAAAAAGGGAGAGACAAAGAAAAAGAAAGAAGAATAAGAGAGACAGGGAAAAAGAGAAAGGAAGGAAGGAAGGAAAACGGGAGAGACAAAGAAAAAGAGAGAGAACAAGAAAGACAGAGAAAAGAGAGAAAGAGAACGAGAAAGAGGAAGAGGAAGGAAGGAAAAGGGGAGAGAAATAAAAAGAAAGAAAGAATAAGAGAGACAAAGACAAAGAGATAGAGAAAACAGAGAAACGGAGAGATAGAAAAACAGAAAGAAAGAAAGAAAGAAAGACCAGAAACTATGCCATAGGTGGGCAGCCAAACCAGTCTGAATTGGACTCCCATTGGGATGGCAGCTGCAAATGTTCAAACTCGGCATGTGCTGCTGTTGCTGCAGAAAGCCCAAGGGGCTCCCTCCCTCCCTTCCTTCTAGCTTCTCATCAGCCCTGCTAGTCCTCAGGGTTGTTGCCTAAGAACTGCAGGCTCAGGACTGACAAACCAGGATCAGCTGTTGTCTCTGCTGAAAAGCCACTTCTATCAGGCTTCGGTTTAGTCCCAAACTTTTCCTGTGCCAATTGGCGTCGAGGACTTAGCTCTAGGCTAAAAACCAGCAGCAACCAAGCCCAGAGGGCAAGGCAAGAAAACCCAAAAGGACACATATAGACTGGGTGAAATTTGGCTCAATAGCAGTAACTGTGAGGGGGATACTGGAGTCTCAGTGGAGAGTCAGCTAAATAGGAGCCAGCAGTGTGCATCGGCAGCCAAAAAAGCCAATGCAATCCTAAGTTGCATCAACGGAGGGATACAGTCAAGATCAAGGGAGGTACTAATACCACTCCATAAAGCCTTAGTAAGACCCCACCTAGAGTACTGCATCCAGTTTTGGTCACCACACTATAAAAAAGAGGTTGAGGCTCGAGAAAAAGTGCAGAGAAGAGCAACCAGGATGATGAGGGGACTGGAGGCTAATGCATACCACGAACGGTTGCAGGAACTGGGCTTGGCTAGTCTAGGGAAGAGAAGGAGCAGGGGACACATGATAGCAGTCTCCCAATATCTGAGGGGCTGCCACAGAGAGGAGAAGAGGGTCAAGCTATTTTCCAAAGCACCTGAAGGCCAAACAAGGAACAATGGATGGAAACTGATCCAAGGAGGGATTAAAACCTGGAAATAAGGAGATATTTTCTGACAGTGAGAACAATCAACCAGTGGAACAGACGTTGCCTTCGGAAGCTGTGGGAAAGGCATCCCTGGAAGCTTTCAAGAAGAAACCAGACTACCATCTGTCAGAAATGGTATAGGGTTTCCTGCTTGGGAGGGGGGTTGGACTAGATGACCTACAAGATCCCTTCCAGCTCTGTTAATCAACAAGGGTCCCTTGCTGATCTGGCTTTCTTCTCCACTCCCTACCACCGTTTCACCCAAAAGTCACCTACTGAAATCTCCTTCCCCATGCCGATCTGGCTGAGGTTCGGCTTCATCCCTCGGCCCACTTGCCAAATTATTGCCTCGGCTGGTTGGGTCTTGAACGGCCATTCCCGGGCATACAGTTCATACCAGACGGTTCTGTGGAGGCAAAGGAAGAGACCAAGTTAACAGGTGTTGGGACTCTCTAAGTACTCCCGCTTGCCATCAAAGCAAGAGGGTTAGAAGATGGCAGAGAACATCCTGGCATGCCTAAAGGAATGAGGAAGGGCCTGCTCTATGGTTTTGTCTCCTGGAGAAACGGGAAATGTTGTGATTGGCTGTGGCAGCCATTTTGCGAGAGTGCCTGCAGTGGATTCTGAAAAACGCCAAATGAGCTTGCATTTATTAAGGACGATGATGGCCTTCAAGCCAGCATTGACTCAAGAACCACACAAATAGATATTCTCCAGGATGATCTGATCTGAAAGCCTTTTAAGTATACATCTTTAGAAATGGGCAGTCATTTATTCAATAATCATGGAAGTTCCAATCAAAGAAACACAGTAAGGCATCAATTAAATCTGATTTCTATATAAATGTAAAAGGACCTAATGCATCAAACGGGCTGTAAAAATTGCTTAAGTTTGAGCAAACACAACATTTCACATTGGCTATTTTTACACAGTGTGCCAAGCATATTGTGTGAATTCAGCTTTTGTGGTCCATAAACTAGGATATATTCCCAAGGGATTAAGTCAAACAAACCACGGCTTATAGCAGTAGATGAACAGAAAATGAATTCTGTATGTTTTTTTCTCTAACATTGCCAGGTGAACCCAGCTATGGAGGTCTGCAAACTATTGTGTATTGTTCACCTTTTTTTTAAAAAAAGTAACCATTATCAAAACATTTTTATATTAAAAAGTTGCTTTATTTTGCTTTAGCCAAGATTCACCAAACCCCCTGCAAATTTCTTACAAAGTGAAACGCTGGGGAGATACATCTTATTCTAAAAGTCATCATGAGCCAGATAATCTTTAGACATCCTATCTAGCCATGATGGGATCTTAATATAAATTTTTAACTGCCACGGCTTTTCCTAAAATGATGATGAAAGGTGCTAATAACCTTCTGAGTGATAACCCTGAAGCACACGCCTTTCATTCATCAGGATTCCCCAGGAAAAAGAAGAAAAGGGCAATTCACATCTCATCCAACTTGGAATTCAGTAGGAGCCACTTAGCATCGCATCCTGTATTTTATTTATTAATTATAGCCGCCAAACTCCGACAGCCTCCAAGATTGCGAGGGAAATCATGCAGATCAACCTAAGCGGCAGCTGAAGGTCATTTCACCGATCGAAAAATCCCTACTCAAGAGGCAATTCTGTGCAGAAATGACGTGAATCCCTTGCACAATTTTTTTTTAAAAATTTGTAAACAATGCCTCAATTAAACAGCTGCTTCTGCCAGTGAAATTAATTCCCCCCTCCCCGCCGTCATGACACCTTCAATGTTTTTTGCATGCATGGTTAAACCTCCAGCTTCCATATTGAGCTTTGGAGAAGTTACCTTAGATTCAATACTCTATTTATTTATTTGCTTTTTCCTTTCCAATTGGCCTTAATTAATTATTCTCATGCCCCTTCCCAACCCGACACTCTTAAAATCTGCTGGGAATATAAATCCCAGAACTGACGGTCACTAGGCCACAGGTAGACAACATTTATGGGAGTCGGAGTCCAACTGGACTCTGCTGATGGGTGACGTTTTCTCTAAACAAAAGTATGTGTGTATGTATGTATGTATGTATGTATGTATGTATGTATTTAAAGGCCAAGACACACACTATTTCTTGTAATCTTCACAACCCCTCCATTCAGTGGTGGGCTGCAAGCAGTTTAACAACCGGTTCTGTGAGTGTGTGCTTTATGCGCGCAGTGTTAAAAAACCCCCCACCAATTTGAACTTCTACAGCTTACCTTCTAGGGCAGCCCCAGTTAGTAAAACAGCTGAGCTGAACATCACAGAAATATAGGACAGGATAGGGTGAGGCCAGCTGATTGACAGAACTACCAGTTTGCTAGAACTGGTCCAAACTGGCAATAGCCCATCGCTGTCTCCATTAAACGAGTGAATCTTGTTGGCGGAGGCTGTTTCTAATAGAGAACAATTTGTATCACGTGGAAATCAAAGAGACCGCCTATGTCCAAATGAAACATCCCTCTGTCCACAGAGGGGCAGGGGTACAACATCATCTATCTCCAGCCTACATAGGCACAGTCCTTTCAGCAGTTCCAAGAAGGCTCCACACCCATGTGCACAGGGGTGGGATTCAAAATTTTTAACAACTCTTAGCTACAAACATTCTCTTTTATCAATGTGACTTCTGGTCAGAACACACACACCCCTTTTTCTCTGCCTGCTTGCATGTAAAAAAAAAAAAAAATCAGAGGAAAGTTGGGTCCTTCCTGTCAGGAAAAGTGTTCTCTGACATTTTTGCTGCCTCTTGACTCTCTTTGGGAGGTAGCGGAAGTGATATTATTTACTATTTCCTCCTTGGGGCCTTGAGGTTTCCTGCAGCTTCAGGTCGAATTTAGGAGCAGAGGAAATAAAACCATTCTCAGGACTCCTGAACTGAGGAAGAGAGTTTGGCTCAAACCGAATGACATCATTTCCAGGCATGGAGAAAATGCAAGGCTATTTAAGGGTCCAAAAACATTTTCCTGTTCCTGTCGGGTTTTTTTTTTCCCCTTTTTTCTTTTCAAAACTGGGTTTTGCTTAGGAAAGATAGTGAGGGAGGCTTGGTCAAGTGGGAATTTAAGATTTAAGCCCTTTTGAATGTAGAGTGGATTTATAACTGGGAATACCTCCATTGGGAGTTTGTTCATGGTTTGAACATTTGAATATAGTTTTTGCAGACCGTACCCCAAGCTGAAATCCCTTAATAGCTAGATGTAACAGGCAACCGTTTTCTTCTTAATTATCTTAGATGGCAGGGTTAATAATTAACAAGAGTTGGACACTACCAAAGGTAGGAGTGCCAATGGTGTCGCTATTCATTTTTTAGTTGCTTGTTTGTGTGCTTTGTCAAGGGAAACTTGAATATTATTTGTTAACTGCTGTAGTTTATTTGGCATTGTGATTGAATTGGTAAAATATTAAAAAAAATATCAGCAGTGATCAGGCCCAATGAAATATGCCCAAATAATAGTTTTAAAATCCAGTCCATCAAAACATAAAAGGAAGAGAAGAGTAGAGAGGATCATGATAGAGAAAGAGAGAGAGAGGAGAGAGATTAGATAGATAGATAGATAGATAGATAGATAGATAGATAGATAGATAGATAGATAGATGGATGGATGGATGGATGGATGGATGGATGGATGGATGGATGGATGGATGGATGGATGGATGGGTGGATGGATGGATGGATGGATGGATCAATGGATGGATGGATCAATGGATGGATGGATAGACAGACAGACAGACAGACAGACAGACAGACAGAGAGAGAAAGTGATACTATATGTAAATAGAGAGAGAAAGAATGAAAGGAAGGAAGGAAAGAAAGAAAAGGAAAGAAAGACGATATTTTCTCAAAATATAAACTTCAAATTAAAAAAAATTACCAGGGGTTATGTCTGATAAGAGAGCTCTTTCCCCAGTAATTACTTTTTAAAGTCATACCAATACTTGCATTGGATTTAATTGCTGTTTTCACCCACCAACCCCATGAAAACGTATTACCAGATAAGAACTCAGTATAAATTAATCACTTTAGTACTCTGTTCTTGAAGGTGCCCATCTCACTGGCTTCCAAGAAAATTAATCCGTCAGATTAAAAACAAAAACCCAATCCTATTGGGCCAAGGGAAAGATTTCATCATAGGACAGGGAAACCTCTAAAAGATAATGTTAAAAATGGATTCCTCCCCTCTCTTTGCTATGAAGCATGATAATTAATTGGGCAAGCAAAACAACAACAAAAACAACAAAACAAACCATCAAATAAAAACGAAACTAGAACACAGCAGGAAACAAAACTTTCATGAACTGACATTTAGTTTTCCATTGTTGCTCCTAACCATTTTTCTCTTGAAGAGGTTTTGCATGGCAGAATTCTCCTCCTGCAGAGAATTCCTAATATTGATTTTATTACTGACAATTTTCTGCCCCTCTATGTCCAACGGCTCACAGCAGCGTATGCAGAAAAAAACACCCCAGAGGATTAAAATAAACAATAGACTTTATATATCACTGACCAATAAGGTTAATAGTAGTTAACATCCCTTTAATTCCTCCAACTTGGCCCCCCAATGTCCAGTTATCCTCCGCTGGAGAAAAAAAAAACTCTCCCAAGAACAGTTTTTAAAGGGGAGAAATTCAGCCCGAACCCAAAGTACATACAAATTATAAATAAAAACCAACACAAATCACGCTGCAGCAATTAACGAGACAAGGCAGGATGAGGAATTGCAGACTTCAAAACATAACGAAATGTTGTCTCCCAGGGCTAAGCTTTTGAAGGTAGCACTTAACTTACGACCACAATTGAGCCCACGTTTTTGTTTGCTTTGTAACTTGGAACGATCATGAAATCATCATCCTCTTTTAATGACCCCATAATCCCTTGAGGAGTGGAGTCTGGGCAACTGAATGGAGCGCTATGATTCCTGGCCGGATGCCCTTCTGGTTGCTGGTGCAGAGTTAAATTCAGCAGATATATTATCATGGTGCCCAGAGAGAGAAATATCTGCCTCTACCTAGGATCGAACTTACAACCCTCCTGATTCTGAGGGGAGAGCTCCACCTCTAGGCCACCGCACCACTTTGAATTATCATAAAATAAACTGTTGTAAGTTGAGGATTACCTGTACTTATTCATTGAAAATGATTAGGAAGGAGAGAACCTGGAAGGCCTCTTCCAACTCTATTATTCTATGTATCTTTTTTTCTAAGGAATGGGTCTTTTATCATCCCGCGTCATAATTCGACAACAGAACTGCTTCCTTCAGGACTAGTAATTTCCCACAATATGGTACTCTAAGGGCCATGGAGCTCATAACCCTCTGTTTCAAGCTCAATGCCAAGACATTATCTTCATCCCAACTAATTATTAATCTTATCAAAACTCATTCTTTCCTATTTTGGAATTTGACTTCTCCCAGCTTGGCATCTTCTCTTCATTACATGCTGAATAGCACTTGATTAAGAAGTAAGGCTAGGCGTATCTTTCAGCTGACCGCAATTGTTTTGAGGGCTCACATCTGAAAATACGTTGATTAAGGAAGAAACTCTTCATCCAAGGGCAGTGTGATGACCCAGGGCGTGGCACTAAAAGCAACAAAGTCACAAAAGTGGGTAAAGTCCCTTTAATACCTCCAACTTGGCCTCCAATGTCCAGTTATCCTCAGCTGGAGAAAAAAACTCTCCCAAGAACAGCTTTTAAAGGGAAGAAATTCAGCCCGGACCCAAAGTACATACAAATTATAAATAAAAACCAACACAAATCACGCTGCAGCAATTAACAAGACAAGGCAGGATAAGGAATTGCAGACTTCAAAAGGTAACGAAACACACACAGTTGGGAGGACGCCAGAACCCAGATAAGCCTTGACAAACAAATATAATTCACATTTTGCTTCCAGCAAGGTGCTGTGCTCAAACGCCCCTTTTAAATCCTGTTTTCCCAGCTGCAGCTAATGAAGGGAATCAGGGCCCTTTTCTCCCCCATAAGCCACACAACTCACATTGCTCCCTTCTCCGTTCCTCCCTGCATGCCCTAGAATGAAGAGGGGGTGGGCCTGGGTCTTCCCCTGAATCCCCCAGTTTCCTCCACAGCCACCAGAGCCACATTCCCACTCCCTGTCAGCTGCTCAACTTCCCCCTCGGAATTAGATTCCAACAGGGGCATGAGAGGCAGAGTGTATGTTTATAATCCACCCCCTAAATTCACCAATGAGATGAAGACTTATAGGATGAGAGAAGTTTCTTCCAAGATGACTTTCCAACTCATCCCTTCCTTCCTTCCTTCCTTCATTCCCCTCTCCACCCAATAATGACATTTACCCAAAAGCAAAGACGTCTGACTGCTTGGAGAAAGGTAGTTTGTCTTCTTCTGTTTCCGGTGACAGCTGGTGGATAATCTCTGGTGCCAAGTGGCACAACCAACCATTTTGGATCCGCAGTTTGTTCTCTCTCCTGGAGGAAAAAGAGAAGAGCCAATTAGTGAAACTCCGCTTGCCGTAGCTCTGTCATGTCCGAATCAAACACAAAGAAATGGTATTGATTTTCCTCACTGTTCCCCAGAACCCATGCTGAGCTGGCTGCTTTCTCGTCCCCCCTCCCTCTCTTCTTCAGTGATACTTGGACTTACGAGAGGGAAACTTCATAGTTTCACTCAGGAACCTGCTGCTATTTTGACCCGATTGAACGAAAATGAGCTCATGATAGCAATTGGAGTTTCTTTTGGCCTTGGGAGATCTGAACAGGCAAAATGAAGATAAGGCCATGGCTTCTCGCCAACTTACTGTCCTGTCACTGAAAATGACTCTTTTGTTGGTTCAGCATCTACTCCTAATGTCTTAAATTAATTAATTAATGCTTTAGTTAATTAATTAGAAAAAAACTGCTGGTGACTTTCTACTGCTGCACCATAGAGAGCATCTTAACTTACTGCACCCATGGATGGTTTGCCAATTGCACTGTGGCAGATAGGATGTCACTCCAGAGGGTTAAGGTCATTGCCCCTCAGAGGATCCTGGGTTGCCCTCTTCCCCTCTTTGGAAGAGCTTTATGGCTCCCGCTGCCTTAAGAAAGTTCAAAACATCCTCAAAGATCCATCTCATCCTGGAAACCCCCTTTTTTTTAAACTATTACCATCTGGCAGACGGTACAGAATAATAAAAACAAGGACAAATAGGCTGAAAAACAGCTTCTATCCCAGGGCAGTAACTCTATGGGATTCTGCTGTATAGTGCAATATTAATGCAATATCAGGGTTTTCAATTCAATTGTATAGAATTTGAAGGATGTGCGTTTGTGTTTATTTTCATAGTCATAATGAACACTGAAGATGGCATTCAATTTCATTGTACAAGGTGCAATTACAATAAAGTAAAGTAAAGTAAAGTAAAGTAAAGTAAAGTAAAGTAATTAAGGCATTGACCACAATCTAGAGAGCCCTAAGATCCAGGAATTTCAGCACCCTTCTCATGTATATCATCTGATCCATTACAATCAGCAAACAAATAACATACCATAAAAACTCTTCGTTATACTTTTATTCAGCAGCAGGCCCAAGAACTGGAAAAATGTCCCTCCAAGTCTTCACTACCGTCTCTGACACAGGTGAAACTCAGATCCTCATCATATGGATGTGTCAGCTTAGAACAGGGCTCTCTCCAAACTTGGCAAGTTTATCAGTTTGTGGACTTCAACTCCCAGAATTCCTCGGCCAGCCATTCTGACTAGGGAATTCTGGGAGTTGAAGTCCACAAGTCTTCAAGTTGTCGAGTCTGGAGAACCTTGACTTGGAACATGGAGGCCAACCGTGTGAGAACGTATTTCAGGCCTTGGTTTATGGTATCTTCAGCCGTGCCTGTTGGTGGCTTTCATTAGATTAGATTTCATTAGATTGGACTAGATGACCTACAAGGTCCCTTCCAATTCTGTTAAATCTGTATGACCATTAGACCCTACTTGAGTTACATCCTTCTGGCGTTCCACCTTGAAAACCAAATGTCAGCATCCTTCAACCTGTGGACCTGTCAGTCTCCTGTCAGGGGCTCCCAGTGCTGTGGCAGCAAATGAGGCTTTTAACGGCAAGTGGCTGTTAAATGAATTGCCAAGATAGGTTAAAACGCCCAAGGTTATGCTGCCTTAGTTGTCATCTGGTTTACTGTTCCTGGGTCTCGCCTGCTTATAAGGGGAGGAAGAAGGAAAAAGAAAGCAAACCATGCCCGTCACATTTGTGGGCAGGCACACCTCTGAATGTTTCAATGCCAGAGATCATTGACTTTCACAATATTAGACTTCTTTTGCTCGTGTGGATTTTGTGTTGCTTCCTCTCTCCTCTCCTCTCCTTTCTTCTCTCTCTCCTCTCCTCTCCTCCATTTCCTCCATCCTCTCTTCCCTTCTCTCCTCTCTTCTCCTCTTCCCTCCCCTCCCCTTTGGAAATTATACTTTTCTAGAACACATTACACATCTGAAAAGGGAGAAGGAAAGAAGGAAGGAAGGAATGAAAAGGAACAGAAATGATCCAAAAGTTGGACCACAGCACTCTCCTGCTGATTTAGATTTGAACTGGGTGGATCCTGGAATATCTTGTATCTGGTTCAAGATCCACCAGAATAAGATCAGATTTCATCTTCACACTTTCCTGAGATCAATCACTTCCCACATCCTGTCCTAAACAACCTCTCCTGAGCTTGTTGCAAGGAGAAAAACAATGGATCCTTTTGTGAGCTCCCCAAATCCGTTAAAAAGCCCACAAATTCTCCAGGAAGGGTCGATCAACATTCGCAAGCAGATGCTTTGCGAAATGACAAAGGTTCACACCAGTTCCCCCGGGGAAGGAATGAGTAGAAAAAGAAGACACGAAAGTACCGAATGAGCCAGCATGCCCAAGTCCCCGGGGGGAAAAAACCAAAACCCCACAGCTCATCAAAGAGGAGAGAAAGAAGTAAAATGAATCTACACAAAACTGTGTTAAAGGTTTGTGGCCAGATGTATTGCAGAGCACCTGCTGTGTTTCAATAGCCCAATTCTAAATCTTGATTAGGAAACCACCTTCATTGGTGCATCTCGGTTTCTGGGTCCCCAAACTAACCTACTTTGCAGGACTGAAGAGACGGGGGGGGGGGGGGGGGGGGAAGGGGGGGGGGGGGGGGAGAGAGAGGGGGGGGGAGAGAGGGGGAGTTCGACAGCTGTTCTGAATCCTTGGAAGAAAAGGAGGATAAATGCAAAGTAAATAATTATGGTTTTGGGGTTGGATGAATCTCTGGGGTAGCATGGGAAGGCTCCCCACTCCCCAGAATAAAATACTCCCCAGAATATTAGAAGAGGCAGAATAGAATATTCTCCCCTAAAGGAGAAGAGGAGAAAAATTTCCTTAACAAAGGCAGAAAGAAGCTCTCAGTCTTTCTGCTATAGGAAAACAGCCTCAGGCAGAAGTTTCGAGAGGCTAGGCTTTATGAATGGATATTTTGTAAAGCCAGGCCACTCTGTTCATAAACGAAGGGCAGCCAGCAGCTCAGAATAAGCAGCACAAAAGGCAGGGGGGCAAAACTGACAAGATTAGCTCAAACAAACAAAAGACCTAAAATTTGCATTTCCCCTTTTGCCAGTCATGACCCCTACATGACTCCATAGGGATCTGGCAACAGCCATTAAAACATTAAAGGAGATGAACAGGCATCTCAATCACCAAGCCCCCAAAATTGTATAAAAGCTCATCTACTCTCAACCCTAATTTGTCAGCCACCCCAGAAACATGTTGCTGTCACTGTTGTTTCCGGCTACCAAATAAATGGAGACCTCCTTTCCAACTGCAGCTGCCTTCAGTTCATTTCTCCTGCATCTTTCTCCTGGCTTGGAATAACAATTGGATCAGATTTTACTCCCAGCAGTAGAAAGCCTCAAATTTCACTGCAGGTTTGAGAGAGTCCTGGGCAAAAAGATTCTTTTTTGGACCCTTCGTCTGCTTGGGGAGGGGGTCATTGCAAGTTTCCCTGGCAACAGCAGTAAGTAGAGCCAGTGCACTTTGGATCTGGGCCTAGCAGTCATTTTAACATCCTACAATGCACCAGGTTGCAGGGTCTTCTGGGAAATTAAAATGGCGGTTGCACCAGGGCCTGGGGAAAACCAGAAATGGACTTTATTAGGGTTAGATTAAATCCCTAAAAGCTACTCCAGGTAATACAGTTAGACCTCAACTTTTGAGCTCCACATTTCTGTTGCTAAGCGAGGCAGTTCAGTGCGTTTTGCTCCCATTTTACGACTTTCCTTGCCACAGTTGTTAAATGAATCACTGCAGTTGTGAAGTTAGCAACAGGGCTGTTAAGTCAATTTGGCTTCCCCATTGACTTTGGGGATCACGTGTGCCTGGGATGCTGCGACCGTCATAAATATGAGTCAGTTGCCAAGCCCCTGAATTTTGATCACATGACCATGGGGATGTTGTAACTAAATGGTCACTGAATGAACTGCTGTAAGTCGAGGACTACCTGCAAGATGCAGTCAAACCCCAGACTCCCAGAATGCAGTGAAACTAACCATGAGCATCTCATTGTGAATCTGGTGCCAGCTTTGAGGCTGGCTGCAACTTGTGGGAGACAAGAGCATGTAAAGCACGAGTAAAAAAAAAAGACAGAACGGAAGCTCATCCATCTCCTGGGTGACAGGTGTGCCTTCCCTACCTGGATGCTGCATTTAAAGCATAGTGGATCAAGCAGTGCAGAGGGCAGAGCTTATATACCTGCCTGTCAGGTGCAAGGAACCAGAACAATTCAATGAGCAGGCCAAAGCAGTTTCTTTGTTGCTCTTCCTTCTACTACAAGAATCTCACCAGACTAACAGGCAGACGAAAGCTTCAAGAGTCTGGCCTCTGTCACTTCCTTCTATGGAGCGACTTCAAACTATACACCCTGCACTCTGCACTCCCCTCTTTACCTTAGCTGGAGATTCCACCACCCGGTATTCTTTTTGAAATGAAGTACTGATGATGGGCTTTGACAGGTTGTTCTTCCAGGCACCTTTGACGCTCATATCCAAGTGCTGGTATAGAATGGAATGGAATGGAACCAGAGGTGGGTATTCAGTCGGTTCTGACCGGTTCTGGAGAACCGGTAGCGGGAATTTTGAGTGGTTTGGAGAACCGGCCAATCCCGCCTCTGACTGGCCCCGCCAACCCCCTCTATTCTCCGCCTCCATTGAGTCCCAGCTGATCGGCTGGGTCTTCTTTGGTTGCCCTGCCCAGGAGAACGGAGCTGGAAAGGAGGTTAGTGGGATGGGGAGGGAATGGGGATTTTGAAGTATCCTTCCCCTGCCACGCACACCAAGTCACGCCCACAGAACCAGTAGTAAAAAATTTTGAATCCCACCACAGAATAGAATAGAATAGAATAGAATAGAATAGAATAGAATAGAATAGAATAGAAGAGAAGAGAAGAGAAGAGAAGAGAAGAGAAGAGACCTTGGAGGTCTTCTAGTCCGACCCTCTGCTTAGGCAGGAAACCCAACACCACTTCAGACAAATGGTTATCCAATCCCTTGTTGAAAACCTCCCATGTTGGAGCATTCACAACTTCTGGAGGCAAGTTGTTCATTTATGGCGCATTCTCACAATCCAAAATCCCAGCCAGGGAAAACTTTCTATAACTTTTAAAAACTTTAGACAAAATTAGTTTTCTCCTTCCTCCCTCTCTGTCCCCTTTCCATATGACTTGTATCTTTTTGACCACATATTTAAAGTTAGAAGCTCCTCAGTGCTAATATCTGGAAGCCTTTCTTGTACCAAACAGCAGGATAAAATGGCTTTAAATAAATAACTAATTATACGATAAACCTGGAGACGGTATAAATAGACCATCATTTTTGGGGGGAGGGGTGAAGACGGAATAAGAAATATTAAACCTACACAGAGTACAGTTAACCACTTCAACCTGACAATTGATACACCTCAGAGAAGGAGGGGGACAGAAAGAAAGAGAGAAATAAGCAGGCCATTATCTCTTTTTTAATCCAAGTGCCTTTGACACACCATAATTACAGAAAGATTAAAATGTGTGATTTATCTCACAGGCGGCTTTGCAATAAAGCAATAATTAACTGCAAGGAAAATCTGCACAATAGCTGGGGTTTAATTCCATTCCTTTTTCTTCTCTTTTCTTTTCTTTCTTTTTTTTTTTTGTCTTTTTAATTTGGAAAAGAACCTGTAAGTACATTACATCTAAATCGGAGACCACAGGCAATAAAATTTGCCTTTAAAAAAATGTTCTTGAAACAAATTAATTAAATTCCTAGGGAGAAAGATTGAACACAGGGAGTGAGAAGAAAGGGGCCCCCTGCTTGAAAATGGTCTTGATGACATTGCGTATGATGTCACAAATGATTTTAGGATAATGTTTAGGTCATAAAATGTTTTTATAAAATTGGCTGAATTTCAGTTCCATGGGAATCATGCCCTAGAGCACCCTACTTGCCTCAGGAAAATGTGGGTGACCCATCACTGGAGGTTTTCAAGAAGAGACCGGGTAGCCATTTGCCTGGAATACTATTGAGCCTCCTGCTTGAGTAGGGGATTGGCTAGAAGACCTCCAGGGTCCCTTCCAAACCTGTTATTCTATGTTCTATGATGTATGTATGTATGTATGTATGTATGTATGTATGTATGTATGTATGTAGATCTTTGGTTATTCGGGTTTTCTCCCACGTAAAATTGGAAGTATCTAGGCGACGTTTCGATGAAGTCTCATTCATCATCTTCAGGCTTGTGTCTTCAGCTTTGTGCTTCATGTATGTATGTATGTATACATGTGGAGAGATTCCAAAGTTACCTGAGTACACATTCACTGAAAATGAAATGCATTTAATTTTCTTTCTTTGCTTCAAAACCACAGAATCACTGAATAGCTGCCGTTATGATTAATGCCTTCACAAAATTCATGATGAGTTTCATCACATGAACATGAGCACTCAGGAGCACTATATTAACAGGGGTCTTTGATGCTCTGTGAACTTCCTTGTTTTCGTGCAGGCATTTCATTACCCAAACTAGGTAACATCATCGGTGCTAGTAAGGATTGCTGTTGGCTGTCAGTTTATATTCTGAAGACTTGCCTGTCTGTGTTACCAGAATATATCTATATCAAGCAAACAATCGTTAACAATACCCCAATCAAGAAACTAACAGATAATCAGAGTTGGAAGGGACCTTGTAGGTCATCTAGTCCAACCCTCTGCCCAAGTAGGAAACCCTACACCATTTGGCAGTCCAGTCTCTTCTTGAAAGCTTCCAGTGATAAAGCTCCCACAGCTTCTGAAGGCAACTTCTGTTCCAGGGGTTGATGGTTCTCCCTATCAGAAAATGTCTCCTTATTTCCAGGTTGAATCTCTCCTTGTTCAGTTTCCATCCATTATTCCTTGTCTGGCCTTCAGGTGCTTTAGAAAACAGCTTGACCCCCTTCCTCCTCTCTGTGGCAGCCCCTCAAATACTGGAAGACTGCTCTCCTGTCTCCCCTGGTCCTTCTCTTCTCTAGACTAGCCAGGCCCAGTTCCTGCAACCGTTCATCATATCTTTTAGCCTCCAGTCCCCTAATCATCCTGGTTGCTCTTCTCTGCACTCTTTACAGCCTAGACATCTTTTTGATAGTGTGGTGACCAAAACTTCCAAAGAGCCATCAGTAAATAGCCCAACCAAAGAATCTCAACACACACAAGTCACCAGAATATAAACTGACAGCAAACAGCACTCCTTACTAGCATTGATGATATTACTTAGTTGGGGTAATGAAACGTCTGCAAGAAAACCATCAAACTCAGAGAGCACCAAGGATCCCACAGTCCTCCTCCTCTCCCTTTTATCACTGATGATGTTACCTAGTTAGGTAATGAAATGTTTGCAAAAAAAAATAACCAAGCTCAGAGAGCACCAAAAACTCCTCATTTTAACCCTGAACTGCAACTATTCTCCTTCATTGGCATTATGTTATGTAACTGAGAGAGCAAAACTGAACAAACTCGGCGAAAGAATGAAAGGAAGTCTCATTCTTGATGAAATCTCTCTCTTTCCCTCCCTGGAAAAGGGCCTCCGAATGTTGTCTTATAAATTCCCCAAGAAATGAATCAACATTCTTCTTGTCCAATGTTCTACTTGGAAACCTAACAACCAGTGGAGAGGGGAGAAAAGAGGAGGGAGGGAGGGAGGCGAGGTTCTCCAACATACCTGCCTGCTTGCAGAACTCCAGATATAGTGAAGAGGCCAAAATCTGTGATCACCACTTTCCCGTTGTCGTAGAATATATTCTTAGATTTCAGATCTTTATGGAGAATTCCCTTTGCGTGCAGGTAGCCCATTCCCTGTAAAAGAAGGAAACCGAGTGAACAGTTGCAGAAAGACTTCTGTGCCATTTTAAAATAGTTCTTAAATTTATACACACATGTCATCCCCCCCCCCAAAAAAAAGGATTAAGACGTTTTGGGATCCACATTAGATGTGGGTTGATCTAGAATGCATCTGAAGGTTCCTTAAAAGCCTATTAGCTCCAAACCCAGATCAATACAGGTTAAGCCGAATGTCTAAAGATCTCTAATGAAAGAAGCATAGAAACATAGAATCATAGGGCTGGGAAGGATCTTGGACTTTTGACCGTCAATCTGGAGGAGGAGGAGGAGGAGGAGGAGGAGGAGGAGGAGGAGGAGGAGG